AAAATCCAACGGTAATTTTTTAAAACTGTATTTTAAACTTTATTAAATGTCTAATTTATATATTTCGATGTTCTGGCTTAAAAAATGTATTTGAAGGGTCCTCAGTCTAAGCATACCCCGGGATGCATGAGCATGTACATGAATTTATTCTAGAGTTGTTAAAAGATTTATTTAAAAAAACAGCCCGATTAAGATTTTAGCCAAAAAATTATGTAAGCTTAAAGATTTTGTTCATAGATGGCAGAAGGGTTTAAACCTTTATTTTCCACATCTCGAGGCTTATATAATATTGTTTGGGCTAAAATTTTAATCGGGCCATTTTTAAGTATCAACTTGAATCGGGCTTTTTAACATCACTAGTCTATTGTTAAATGGGTTCTAGAGCAAAATTTTATCGGTTTTTAGCACGGGTTCTTGTTCTGAAGATTTTTAAAAAAATGGGATTCATTTCAGGTTTTGTTCAGGTCCGGTATGAATTCATAATAAATCGCCAATGTTATTCATCGAATAGAAAGAGGTATATAAAATTTATTTTGTAAAAAATCTAAATAATTTACTAGTTAAAAAATTTGAAACGCAGTTCAGATAGTTGTATTATAAAATGCATTCATTAAGTGTAAAAACAAAGAAATTTTATATAAGGACCTAATCTAATATTTTTTGTACTTATCATGCATTAATTAAACTTAAAAAATTGGTTCGGATCCCGGTTTACAATTTTAAAAATTTTGAGGGGTTTTGTTACGGATTCGGGGAAATAAGAGTCCCGGATCTAGATCTATCCAGAACACTGATTGTGAGAAATATTATGGATTATTTTTGCATATACCTTGAATCATTCAATCATATGTTATAATTAAAATTTTGATAAATTTGACGATCATGTTCAAGATATCGATTAAAAAAATAATTGGGCCAATATGATATTTTTAAAAAATAATTGGTACATCTATGATGACAAATTGTATTAAAGGAAAAAAATAGAATGTTGTCAAAAGGTCTTATTTAAATTCGAAATATAAAATGACGATTATATTAATTTTCTTTCAATTCAATTTTTTTTTTAAAAAATAAAAACATCATAGAAACCATCCATATTTTGACAATATTTTTTTGAAAGCCTTTTTTAAAAGGTATACAATGTATATACTATATATCAAAACGATGAATCGATAATAAAAGTAATTAAAGCCGAGTGTTTGGCAGTTTTTACACCTTAGTGTATTGAACCATTTTTATTGAAATCTATCAAATTCTCATAAATTTATTAATGAAAGCGCATCTACTTTGATCATAAATCACGATATAAATACTTAATACTAATGCACCCACTAAATTTACTAATAAACAAATTTGTTTTTATGTAAAGCCGTTTTCACATTAAAATCAGGTGTAAGTATTGTTTTTAATATTAATATTCTTTTCGTCTTTATGCCTAATTTATTGTAAACGCGTTACGTTATTTAACGCCATCGAAATCACAGCTGATTCTTCATAGCGAATGTTAATATAATTTGAAATAACGCAAACAATGATCATTATGTTATACCTATTTATTGGCTTAATTTTGTAACGCTTGAAACATAACCCCTTTACTATAAATTAGACCTTAGATTCTTTTAACTTCTAATAATAAAAATGTTAAATTAAATCAAAATTAAGATATATATATTTATATTTTGCTTTCAATAATTTTTTAGAGTGTAATTTCGATGTCGGGCCACTGCTTTTAATTTTAACCGATACTAGTCGCCGATCCCCCAAAATGATAATTAAATTCAAATTTCTAACCTTAAAGATTAAGGGCTATACTAGAACGTCTAAGAAATTGAAGTATTTGGAGGTTTTTAATTCGTAACGAACATCTGTTTCGGTTCAGATTTGGTTCTTAAAAAATAATAATATCGGTTCGGGTTGAACCTTTAAAACGTCCAAACTTTTCTCATATAAGCGTATTAGAAGTAAAGAAAAGAACATTTTTTAAAATTTTATCACTTATAAAAACATGTAAAAATAATTATTGATAAACTGATTATTGATGATCTTTAAAAGGGCTAAAATTTAAAAAGGTTCAAATTGGTTCATATGCATTTTTTAAGGCTGGGTTCAGGTACGAGTAACAAATTTTTGATGGTTCAGGTTTGGTTGACACCGGTTTAGCGGTTATTTAAATCCCTGGTAGTCATAAAAAACGTTAAATATAATATTTAGTTAAAAATGACACAGGGGACTTTAAATATGTTTATACACCTATTACTTTTAAAATATGGAAAACTATTCGGAATTGATATAAGATAGCACAATATTTTTGTAATATGCGAACGTCCAAAATATTCAAATTTTTTTCAAAATGAAATTTTTGCAACTATTATTGGGCTGGTTTCCGGTATCGATGTTAGTATTGGAATGATACTACTGGCTGAAAAAAGTTAAGGAGGTGCATCATTGATTATGAATTAATTGTTTACAATTAATTTATTCATTATTGTTACCTTCTATAATAGCATCTGAGGTCTGCGAGTGCAGACCCCATCGCAAACCTGGCATACTTTTTTCGGATAGCGGTTAGTTGGGGTTTGGAATTACAAAAGAAAATAAATCCAATATTTGGTAAAGCTAGAGGTCGAAGCATCTTTATATAGATTTTCATTTGAAAACGTTGAAGATTTTTCTTAAAAAATATATTACCAAGGTCTCGAGATTCGCTTACAGTTGGCAAAAAGGTTTGGTCCTCTTTTGATCAAATCTCGAGGCTTTGTTAATATTTTTTGGTTTATAGTCATTTTTTAAAAGATTAAATCGAAGTTTGTCAATCCCAATTTCATTATTTTAGCAGGGGGAAAAATATGTAATTACTTCACAAAAAAATTAGGGCCAAGTTTGACAATTTATATTGAGACGGGCTTGGTTGGACAAATAATTTTTTTCAGTCGTATCTGAGAAATCAGGCCCGCTACAGACCTCGATAACAAGTAATTTAACCATATTTAAAGCATTGCTTTACTTTATTTGGTCCAATTTTTATCAAATCCTCCATATTTTTTTGCCCCTCCATCTCTTTTCTCAAAAACTATGTTATAAATGCGAACGATATAATAACAGCATATTGAAATTGTTAATTATATATTCGTTAATAACTTATTTTAAAAAAATTGGCTATTGGAATTTCAGTCAATTCAGTTGAAATTATTACGAATATTAATATAAATTCTTACGGCTGGCATCTTTATTCTATTAACAGCGGCTTAAATGAATCCGATTGCTACAGAAAGCATTACATACTATTTTTATTCAAATAGTTTGTGGTCTCGCCATTTTAATTTAATATTTATTTTAGCACATTAAAATTATTTTTGCAATTTTTAAAGATTAAAGTCCAACTTAAGGAATTTGTCACTACAACAGCTGATTTTTTAAAATTTCTATTAAAACTATTTGTATTCATAAGACTATCAGATTCGACAGGAAATAATTTAAAATAATTAAATTTTATTAAGAACTTTTTTTAAAAAAATATATTGACCCTAAACAATCTCTCTTTTCTTTAATCCTACCTTCTTTAACTTCGGTTAGCTTTTTTTAAATTTAAATATATTTCATTATCTAATTTATATATTTCCTTCTGATGAACAATCCTTGAGTTGAGCTACTATCCGGCGAGTAACCCTGCATTCACATTTAAGCGAATTCACGGTGAAGTATACAAAAATTAATGTAAAATTATTACACATAATATCATATTTTGTATTTTTTGCCACGAATTTGCTACAAGAATGCAAGATAAGGATTTCGATAACCTCATATTTTTTGCAATAAGGGCCACGTCTGGGCAACGCAATGACATATAATAATACCTAGACTCACGATGCATAAAGTGTACACAAATGAAAACAGCTGGGGACGCCATGATTACCCATATCATTATCAAAAATTTTAAACGAGAGGCTAATTTATTTCTATGTCTGACCTAAACTTTATATTAAAGAATTGCCTGATCATCGAGATAGTAAGGAAGCAAGTTATCAATCTAATAGTAATTTTAACAAGAGAATAATTACTGTATGGGTTACCAAAATGGCGGATTTAGTTGATTTACATTCAACGACGCTTTCAAATGCCCTATATGAATGCATCGTCAGAAAGGTATTATATGTCAATGGGACAACTATAAAATATCTCGTTTAACTAATATAGGCATTTAGGTAATTTAGAAGTCTTTGGACTATTTTTTTTAAAAAATGCCCACTAAAAATTATAATTATGCATTATGAATTAGAGATCTCTTAAAGGAAATTTTTTTAAAAAAAATAAATAAGCCAGGCTGGACCACTTGTGCTAAAATTCCTAACGTGTCGAAACGGGCCGGGCTTTGCATATCTCTGCTGTGAATTATGATTGATCTTGAATAGTTCCTATAATATTTTTTCTCTATTATTTAATGGTTTGGGTTTAAAGTAATCCATATTATTTTATTTTCAAATTTACTACTTTTTAACGTATAATTTTTGATATCATAATAATAATACCCTATAAAACTTTTAAAATCAAATCCGACCTTTGCCCAATTTTTTTTGTACTTTATTTTATTTTTACTTTATAAAAAAAACATTTTTTTTTCTTCTTTGAACATTTTAGCGCCCATAAAAATGTATTTTTATGTTTAAAAAAGTCTACATTATAATTATAATAAACATTTTTAGAGTTTACTTTTCACACAATTTTATAGTTTTAATAAAATAAATAAATATTCCTTAGATGTACCACCATTCACGAGTTAATTTTATTTTTATGACCTTCTACGAACCGTAGAAGGATGAATCGCTACTTACACTAGCGAACTTGATAAAACCGATTCGCCTGTTTAAATATAACGATCGACTTTCATTGTCGAAAAGAATATTATATGAATTATTTAATTGTTCATCAGGCAGAGATACGTATTTAAAGGGTTTATTTTTCTATGTAATAATTTATTTATATTATAAATATAAAATACCTAGAGCAAGTAATGCATTCTTCCAAGCTCTCTATGTAGACCCTAATTTTTCGCGTGCGAATGAAATACACTTACGACTTGGAATCTTGTACAAAATACGCGGCAATTTGAAATATAGTCTTAAAGTTAGTTTTTAACAAAACAATTTTATAATTTTCTACCTTATATTTTTTTATGTCCCATTTAATTTCATCCATTCTTATGAATAGTTTTGTTCTTTTTTGAAGAGTTCTTAGATCATTTAGGTTGATTAAACCATAGAATATATTTTATTAACAATAAATATCAAAACTTTATGAATAATAGAATATGCAGAAATAATTACTTTTAATTGCTTCCGAATCTTATTTATTAGTTTTTCATTAATTTAAATTTTGTATCACATTCTTCTAGTCGAATTATATCTCCGATTCTTTCAATCATGGCGCATAGTAGATTCCCATAATGCATAGAGACTAATATGTTCTTAATTTTCATTAATTTCTGCCTTTAATTTGGGATTTCATTGTCAGGTCATTGTTTGTTCCCTTCTTCAATGGATTAATTAATATTTCCATTTAGATTTTTTTGGCTATTTAATTTGGAATTATTCTTTAATTAGTGATGCAGTTAATAATAGACATTTTAGAATGCGCTAAATTTTATATAATATTATTCATAAAATTTATAGAACTTATCTTATCTTTTAAGAATATTCCCTATGGTGTTTTATTAATAGTTCTTGCAAATTTAACGTTTGCTTTATGTTTAAAAAAACAAGCATCGATGTTTAAATTTGTGTAGTTCTTTATAACCTTTTCTTAACATTAGAGAAAAAAAGAGTAAATCTTAGAAAATATTATTTGTAAAGATCATTTAATAATCTCAGAGTATATTAAACAATTAAAGAGGTCATGTTAGGATATATCAAAATCTTACATTATCATAATATGGCCAATCTGTGCACTGCCATATGGAATTATACAAAAGATCTTAAATATACACTGACCTAAAGGCGATTAGTAAGAAAAAATTTAATTGCTTAATTTTAATGTAAGAATATTTCTAATATAGTATGATATTTGGAATCATGAATAATATAAATTTTAAATTAATCAATTATTTATGAACACTATACTGAATAACTTCAATATTATATTCCACAAAATGATTTATATTTTATATAATTAAGCATTTTCAGCTCGCCTTGATCGATGAAGCTAACGCCCTTTCTACGTCTCATGCCCAAAGTAAACAATTTATAAAAAAAAATGCTTTAAAAAATGATACTACCTATTATTCTCCTTGTAAACTTTTATACTGTTATAGGTATAGTTGTGTAATAATCTTTATACGCCTGTCAGAAAATTCGTTAACATTAAAACGTTTTAATTTATAATAGCTTCTTCCAAATTTGAGCAGCTATCTTTTTAAGAAAAACTCCTAGGTCAAGTTTCCGACTAAAAACTTGGTTTAGCCGATTTTTTACCCGGCTAAAAATTGGCTTAAACGGCTAGAAATATAGTAATTAGTAATTACCTAACTATAGTTATAGGAACACAAATTTTCTAATTTTTAATCGGATGAATCGATTTTCATTGTTATGGAACTCTTATAGGGTTAGTAAGAAAGCGGGGTTTAGTCATATACGAATTTTAAACTTTTATAATTTTCTATCAAGTATACTTCCACGTGGCCCACCTCTTAGAATGCCGAGGTTATGTGAAACTTAGCAAACAACTTTACGAAAAATTACTTTCTGCCCCTATTTTGAGCTCCCCTGTTGACGACAGCAAAAACAAGCAGCATCCACAACTATTACCAAACAGTAATAGCGATTTTCCATTTTTGAATGGTAAGAACGCCGCTGAAAATAGGTATATCGAAGTAGACGCATCTATAAAAGCCAGTTGCTTGAGACAGGTCGGGTGGTTGCATCATAATTTTTTCCGCTTATTTTCCACCTCAAACTCAGCTTCGTCGTAATATTAAATATATATAACTTGTTTTTATTTTTTAACTATGGAAATTTTACCAATCTAGTTTAGTCAAAATAACTAGTTACTTTTGAAATTTTTTTGCAATAAAAATAACTTTAACTTGTTACTTTTAAAATAATTTAATGTAGTGCTGTTAAGTGGCTCGATTTGAGTCAATTTTTGAAAACCACCAACTCAATATTTTAGTCAGAAAAATATTACCTAAGCCTCCTCGAGATTCCGCTAATTTTTAAATCCGCTCAAATCGAGCCTATTTACATCACTAAGTAACTGTATAGTTATAATTTTTTGAGATTTAGTTACTTTTTAAAATATGTTAAATATTTATATCTCATTCATTGTCTTTTTAATGACTTCCCAGTCAGCGTTCTCGTAGAACGTTTGTTTAGTCGAGGAAACCTTATTTTTTGAGAATCCATAAAAATTTATTAACACGAGTGGTATATTGGGGTGTAATACTCCGAGATTTTTATACAAAAATAACCTATTGATAACCTGGTTTTTTAAATAGTCCTTTATTTAATACTAAACTATGAAAATTTACCATTTTTAATTAATAATATTTAAGATATGAGCATTTTTTTTAAATTCAAAAACGCCTATTTTATATCATATAATTTTAAAAGGAAAAAACAAGTTATTTAAATATAAATTTAATTATTGCATGTTTTGAATTATTTTTTATAAAACTAAAAATATGATGTATCATATTTAAGGCCATTTTATTTTCGACACTTCACAAAATTTCTCATTATTTTTATATTGAATATTCAAATTTTTTATAATTATAATGAATATAAGGTTAAATGTCTAAAATATCAAATCTTAATGATGTTTAAGTGAGATATAACACTTTTAAATAAGGGTGAACTATGCCCCCATTTGCGTTATTTTTTCTACTTTACTACTGTTTTTTGAAAAATAAATATTATATTTTGATTTATTTCGTCAATGCAAAAAATATTACATTGTATATTTTTTCAAGTTATTACTTCATTTAAATAATTGAGATTTATAAAATGCAAAATTATTTTGTATGATAAAAATTTTTTTATTAAAAATGATGAGTTATATAAATAATTTATAAAGTAACTTGGAACTGTAACCAGTTACTTTTTAAAAGTAAATTTTAACAACACTACAAAACATCAATAATATAAGACTTTTTCGGTTTTTGCGTATATAAATAATACGGTAGTAAGGTTTCTCAGTTAACATTTTAATTATGCAAACTTAAAATGTTCCGAGCTGTCTTTTAAGAATAAATATATTTATATTTAGTTCAAAATCATTTTTTATTATTTTAATTTTTAAAGTTTTAATAACTATAATTACAACGATTTGTTTTAACATCCCACTTATAAGCAACACATTAATAGATCAAAATTATTCGAATAACCAAGCTAATCTCATTAAAAATAGTGGATTAAAGAAAGAGAACTGTACTAATCCAATCATTAAAGAGCCTGTAATCGACAAAGAAAAAAGCGAAAACGCCGCTATAAGATATTTGCAATCTGCTATCTCATTGGATCCAACTAGTGGCCAGACCTGGTATTATTTGGGAAGGTTTTAGATAAATATCATTACATAACAATATATCTCTTAATAAATAAGATTTTTTACTTTGATATTTTTAAATTATTTTAAGGATTCAATTATTTAATAAACTGTATCATTCATAATATACAGATTTGTCATAGTAAAGTTGCTTAATTCATTGAGATGCATCTTATGGATATTCTTTTCTCATATTTAGACTTATTTATTGGTTTGGAATTTCGAAGGATATAAAAATGTGCTTGATATTTTAAGTTTTCATATTATTAATTTTTAATGGATATATATTGAGGAGGCAATTGGAATTTATACAATTTATCATCTCTTTAAGATGTTTTGCCAATCTCGGAAAAATTCACGACGCCTTCATATCTTATAGGCATTCTATCGACAAATCAGAAGGCAGTGCCGACACCTGGTGTTCAATCGGGTTTAATATACTTTTTTAAATGTTTTGCGATGATACCTCATTCTAAATTCTGTAGAATAACATGTGATAATAAAATCATATCATTATTTGAATAATATTTGATTGAGTTTTAATAATTTTAATCTTAAATGAAATGCTTGCATTACTTTTCTTTTTAACCCATATTTTATTTGATGCAAAATTGAATATTTTTATTTATCATCATTCAAATTAATAATAAAAGCGTTTTATACCAACAACAAAACCAACCCATGGATGCCCTTCAAGCTTACATTTGCGCTATTCAATTGAACAAAAAATTTACGCCTGCCTGGACCAATTTAGCTCTACTTTACGAAACATGTAATATGCCAAAAGACGCTTTAACTTGTTACGCCAACGCAATCAAAGGTTTAGTCAATTAGTGCGAATATTTAGATAAAGCCTCAATTCATTCATATTTTGCTTCTATCGAATAGGATCGGTTTTTTTGCTTTTATTTACAGAAAATTTGTTCTTAACTTGCCTAAATTGATAAGCCTTACACTTTTTTGAGTCATACATAAACGAAATATCAGCCACCACCGATGCTCAATAATTTAGCTTAGAAGAAGAAAAAATCCAATTTAAGCAATTCCACCCTCAATTTCGATAATTTATAATATAATAGTTTACGAATGAATAATTTTAATAATATCAATTTATAAAGCAAACGTTAAAACGACGATGCCCTTCACAGATCCGACAGGACTTGATCGGATTTGGATCTTCGTTTTAAATTTTTTTCTGGCTAATCCCTTATCTCGACATAATTTTAAATTATTTTTGGTTTCATAGACTTAAAGAATATTTTATTAAGCTTATGATAAACCAATTTTTATGTTCCAAAAAAAATTGTTAAATTTGTATGGTTGAGGTCTATTTTATAAGAATTTTGATTAGCATTTACTTTTAAAAATCAATCAACCCACCAAAAATAGTTTACCTAACCTTTTTTTTAAATAGAACGCTATTAAGAATTCTATTCAGAATTAAGAACAGCTGGGGTGATGCCTATAAGCATTTTATATGCTATCCCATTAAAGTTTTTTAATATAAGTTAGACATAAGAAGTAGTAATTAATAAGTAAGGACAGTAAATATGCTCATATTTTATTATAGAATACCAAAAATTATCTAACCTTATTTATGTTATTTTCATAATAAAGCTATATACAATAACAATTAAAATCTATTTAGCGATAGTTCTTTATTCTATTATTTTTAAATTTATTATCAATTTTAAAAATAAAATTTAACTAAAGCTGGAGACCCTAATCCTGCCCTTTTGCCTCGTATCAAAAAATTGAAGGATACTATTTTGAGCAGCAATTATCAACATCTCAACATTCAAAAGTAAAATTTATATTTTGTACCCCAAAATTCTGTTGGTAGGATTTTTTTTACATTTCAAAAATAATTAGTAATCCTAGCTGTTACCATTTTTTTCAAGAATTTCAAAATCGCTTATAAGAAATGGACGACAACATATTTTTTAAAATTATTTTCTATTTAATGCATAACAAGGGCCAAAACAGCGTTGCCCACCATTGAAGAAGCATGGAATTTGCCTATTCCCGCCGAATTGACTTCTAGACAAAATGCTGACACCAAAGTAATTTATCTATTTAAAAATAGGCTTATGGATAAAAAAGAATGGAATAACTATTTTTGTATAAAAAATATTTGCTCAAAAAAAACATTGAATTATGATAGTTTTGAACAAAATTAATTTTCCAAAAAATATATATTAATCCTAGCCAATCTCATAATATTTAATTAATCCGAGTAGCCCACATCATGCTTTCGCTCACTTTAAATCATTTTGAAATAAATGTAATCCTTATTTATAATAAACGCATTTTGTTCAAGCAGTATGGTATTTAACGCTCCCTTATCTTCAAAATCAAACCAATAAATGGGTGTAATTTATAAATATGAAGCGAAACGATAAAAACCTGACATCTGTTTACGGATAGCAAAAAGTATTATAGCTGTGACGAATAAGCTGTAATTTTAATAACATTAAATACCTCACCGCTTGAATAAAACGCGTTTACAACAAATTCAACGTAACTCATATCACCCTTTTTCATTGGATTAATATCTCCAAGTTGTTTGATTCACAAAAATTAACTGTCCCGCTTACCAAGAATAACATTTTTTTTAAATGGTGCAACTACCCATTACCCCATTCTTTTTATGATTTAAAAAATTTTTCAATCCCCTTATTTTTGAATATTTGAGGAATTGTTTGAAAATATATATTTCATTCATAAATACTTCAAAGATCCCTCCTTTTATGACCAAATACATATATCCTTTGATTCAACAACAAAGGGAGATGCGCCTTAAGCTCTCGGCTATGGGCAGAAAAAGTCTAACTAATGGTGTCGATATTTTCAACGTCAAAGTTTGTTTATTATTATCTTTTTGTAATGTAAAGTGCATTTTTTCCATGTCTACATTTTTACCCTATCTTTATTTAGATTGTATATTATCCTTAATATATTTTAATTTTTAAATATCACTTATCTTTATTATAGTGTGACATAATTGAGCGTTTGCGTTTCGATATGCAAAACACAAACAATGCATTTGAAATGGTAAGCAAATTGATCACAATATATAAACATTAATAAAAACGCAAACTGATTTTCTTTTTCCGAAAACGCTTAATTAGGTCGCACTATATATAATTTGGGCCTTCTTCCACCAGAGAAGGAGATAATCCGTATTCTGACAGAAGAGGGAGAGAAGCTGGCTTACCTTGGTTGATTGATTATAACAATTATATGAAATATTGTTTAAAAAACATAAATTATGGAATGCTTACATAACGAAGGAGGCATATTCACGCCTAAACTTTCATTATATGATTTTTATAACAATCTTTTTATTATTTTGAAAATATACATTATTGTAATAGGGATTTGTTCATTTTCGAATATAAAAATTAAAGAAAGAAAGAAATTATTTTAAAAATATTAGTTGATTAAATGTGTAAAATCATATTCTTACCTTTACCCCATGTTTACATTATTCATGTTCTCCCTATTTCCTAAGTTCTCAATAAAATGCACATTTACAATAAAAGGCACATGTTTGTATTCTTTTATGATAATTGATCAAACCTGTTGAATTTCTTGAGCCATATTTTTGGCATTCCTTCCCCTCCTCCTATATTTGTCCTCATTCTTTGACATTTTTTATTCTAATAGCAGCATAGCTATTATCATCTAACTATATATTTATAAGAGGAAAACTATCGAGTCCTTTTGATAGGGCTCCCCCCTAATATATTCCTGGATATACACTTTAGGTTGGATGAACACTTGATGGATATGCGGCCTAAATCTACTTCATTAAATATAGATTTGATAAAATATCAAAACTTATCTTAAAATACTTTCTTAGGATCAACAGGTGGATAAATTAACCCATCGTCAGTACGACTCTATTCATAATACACCAGAACACAATGCTATCAAAAGACCTCGTTTCTCCAGTGAAGCACCTTCGATGAATAATGTAAGAATGCTATTTTTTTATATTTTTATTCTGTATTTCATCTATGATAAATAGAATACAATTGTTTTGAGAATCGTAATTTTTAGATATTTGGTCTTAATTGAATATTAAAATTCAGCATCGCATCAATTTTTTAGATTTTTAAAAATTCTCAGGTATCTTCGGCGGACTCTGATTACAAGTATAACGATTGTCACATCAACACTCCAAGCGAAAAAGATACCCATCTCCTAAATTTGAAACAAGAAGATTTTATTAACCCGAACAGTAACGTAGACAACGACTTTTTTAATGATATCGAGGATGAAGACGACGAGGATGAAGAGGGATTAATAGATCCTGCCGTCGAAAAGGAGCTGGAAAATTTGCTAGCCCTTGATGGGGCCGATACCAAAACCCTTTTCGCGTGCTTGAACACCAATAATTCCTCGCCAGTTATAAGTGGTAAGAAAAATACAGAGTTATTATTTGAATTGTAAAAGAATTGCATTCCCTGGTCGGGCCTGTATAATTAGGCACCTCTAGTTCCAGGTCTCATATTTAATATAGCCATGCATCTAAATCGCGTTTTATGTTGCTTAGCTCACCTCGTACTTTTATAAATTTCACGTCTTTTAAAAAAAATTTATCAATGTTCTACAAATGTTTGCTGTTACCGTTTACTTCTTTCAATCATATTTTTTATCATAAATCTGGTTATCCTAAAACGTTTAGGCAAACTTCATTTTTTATCGCTTCATTTTTTGTCGAATATTTCAAAAATAAGAATGTGTAATTTGGCACATCGTGAAACGTATCATACTCATAGACCTTTTAATATTATTTATCGCATAATGAAACCCATAATCCCGTGCTATCAATAAGCCTGACTACACTTGTTCTCGCTTATTAATTGATAGACTATATAATATTTATGTTTGTCTCTTCATATGTTAATTGTTTATTTTTTTTCAAATAAATAAAAAGTAATTGTTTCTCACCATGTAGACTTCTTTTACGTGGTGAGAAACAATTACTTTTCATCAGTGGCGTAGCTAGGATTTATCTCCCTATAAGTTGGCGGAAGTACTAATTTTAAATATCCAATGTTTATTAGTGTCTGACTTAACCAAAAAAATTGGGACATATGATTAAAAAGCTACTGAAGGCATTATCTGAAACTTTAAGTGCTCAATTGTAAATTAATTTAATCCATTTTGTAAATAGTAGGAAAAAAATTGGCATTTTGCTAGAATGGTAAATATATTTTTAAAAAAACTATATGCCTGTCGTACGCTGATATTTAGTTCCTGATTAGTACTTTAAATCCACAAATATAGTATTACAAAAAGTGTTATAAACAGAATGAAAACTACGACGTTACGTTTCTAGGGTGAGTTAGCCAAAAGTTTTTGGAAAAATCTACAACTCATACCAAACCAAATAGGACAATTAATTGTTTTTTTCTGTTTGGTATATATTTTGACGGGGAAAAGAATTATTGGTAAAAAAATAGGAAATAGTCAAAATTAGCATCATGCCAGAACGGAGAATATAGAAGTTATAACTAACTAGTTTGCGCTAATATTTCGCTACAAAGTAACCACCAATCAAATATAAACTATTATATCACGCCTTAAGCGTAAAGTCATTCAAAGATATGAAGGCATTAGTACGTATTTCTTTTTTATGCTTCAACCTTTTAGTAGATAGTTTAAACAATAGGGACAAGATAAATAAATATTGCCAAGATTGACATCACGTTAAAAGTAGTTTGAGTCTTAAATATCGAATTTTTAATTACGATTCAAAAATAAATTAAAATTATTCCCGATTCAATATATTTTTGAATCTTATGATTTTTATTATTGCTTGTTCTTTTCAGTTTATTTAATAGATATTTAACAATATAAATTATATTATTAAATTTATAATCAATTGTTTTGTTAAAAAAAATTTGGGGGTTTATGGGGTGGGTCAACCTTAAACCCCCTCCTGTTTACGCCGTTGCTTTTTATTAAAACACCACTTAAAAAAATATTAAGAATTAATATGTGAAGATGACAAGATTTTTAAACATGAGATATATTACTAAAACTAATTTTCCTTTAAAAAACAACAATTTTACAAATCATTTAATGAATAATGATTTTATTAAAATAATACCAATTTATTAGACGCAAAACGTTCGGATGAAAATTTATTGAATACACCCAACTCGAGTATGTCTCATTTTACTCCTATAAATCGAACATCCATTAATCACGATATGTTAAATCGGATGAATATTGAAGCAAATCTAACAGGGACCAATAATACGGTTTTTTACTTCTTAATTTAAACATAATCGAAAATTTTATGTTTCCCTTTATTTTACACCCATTATTATTTCCGTTGAATTCATAATTTTAATGTGATTATTAAATCGAAAAGTTTATATTTACTAGGTCTTAGTTTTTTTTTTGAAACTCGGTTCCTAAAAAAATACACTAAATTTTTATCGTTTTAAAAAGTGTGTTCACTAAATGCAATAAATATTAATTACTTACGCAAAAGGCTCACCATACCCCTTCGAAACCACCGCCGAATCCTGTTCCTATTCTCGGCGATTTTTCTACTCCTTCATTCCTATTCGACGCACACGATCCTGACCCTACTTATAACACTCACCAAGAACAAAATAGCAATCGGGATATTATGGGTTTGAGTAATTATATGAACAATTCTCCACAAATAACCAGGGATAATAGATCGTCAGAATCTTTGCTAGCCCCTATTCATATATCGTCTTCCGAAATCAAGCGTCTTTGCAGTAATATGACAATTTTTAATATTTTACTTTTGTAATTTATTATACGATAAAATCGATTATATTGAGTATTAGCGGATACCTAATGATGGAAATTTATTCCTGGCCATCAAAATTTGCTTCTAAAAAGTAGTTTAGATTATAAGCATGTATTTGATATTTTAAGTTATCTGCCGCCTGTCTTTATTATAATTAAAACCTATATAATATAAAGTAACTAGCGGGATATATCTCTCTAAAATAATTTGTGTAAATGAATATGTTTTTTTAAAAGATACTTTACTTTAATCATTCAGACTCGGATATACCATCACCGTCACCTTCTTCAACTAACACAGTTCCCTCGAACTTAGATCCTCTTTCCCTACTTCTCGGACTTGATTTCGAAGCGCAACCACCTCACCCCCCGCCCCACCCCGATCCCCCTGATCCGTTAAATCTATCTGATATTTCCAATTCTCCCATTCCTCAAGTGCCCCTTTTCACTGTTACCGGCAAAAAGGTCGCACACTCCCCCGAACTTCGTCAATTTTGTCTCTCTCATCCGGCAACCCTTATCAAAGGTGATAGTTTTTTTCGATCATTATTATAATTTTGATCTTTTCGCAAAATTGATTTCTTTTAAATTCTTCTAAGGCCTAGCTCAAATCAAGCGATATTTAGATAAAATCTTCGATATGTTATATTGCAATTGTTAAAAGTTACGAACATTTGCGTTGACAGGCGATGTTGCCTAAACTGCTTTTAGTTTATGGTCGGCCTAAATAAAAAGTGTTAATTTTATTATATATAAACTTATTTCTTTCCCTACTTTTCATTTCTTTTGTTATTATCAGAAATATAATATAAAAAGATATTTATTTTTATTATAATAATCGAAATCAAGATAAGCCTAGTCCTCATAATTTTTTGTTTAAATTTATGAATAGCATATGGGTACTACTTATCTTATAACCATACATAAATGAAGGTCTCTGCCAAGCCCTCAAGCTGGACCTGGGTCTTTACAGTACTAAAACGCTAACGAGTGCGCACCCGCGGCATTTGATCGAAGTTCGAGCCCAGGCTCGGTATCCACTCACTAAGAATTACGCTGATCCCAGAACGGGTAAAAGGCAGGTGTGGAAATGTACCAGCACCAGGCATTTTATGCCACTTGTCGAATATGCCAAGTATCAGGGGACCTCATTTAAAAGGGCTCTCGAGGTTTATATAGTTACTATTTATTTAGAGTTTTTTTTACAGTTTTACTAAATATAAAGGAAGATGACATCAAATAGTAAGAAATTGTGTTAATGGAAATTTAAACACACTTCTGTTAGCAATTTCTTTTTGTTATGCATCATTTCACACGTTCACAATCTTTATTGGGGGGGGGGGGGGGTTAAATATGTTCTTATTATAAAATATTTCATAAAGTCATATAAATATATTGTTTATTTAATTAGGTTTTAAAATATAATTTTTGCATCCAATTAATTTAGGAAGAAAAGGCTAAAAATAGCTCCTCGGGAGATACCGAAACTATTAATGAAAACGAGTAATTTTATTATAATATATTTTTTCTGTTAATATGAAAAATGTTTCTAAACTTTGATTGTGTTTGCACTTGATTTCTTATAGGGTTCCTACTACATCGATCCATCTAATAGATGAGCGATTATAAAATAAAATACCAGTCATATTAAGGCTATAAATAGCTATATTTTAATAGATAAAGCAACATATATAAAACTAACTTTTAAAAATAGAGGTGGGGGGGGGGAGGTCCTTAGAATAAGATTTTTAAACTAGCTCAATTTCTACCAAAAATAAAGTTACAAATACTTATAATAAATCAAGCTACGGTATAAAAAATTTAAAGATACAATCATAAAATTTAATTAACTATATTTTTTAAAGTGCCAAAAATATTAAAGACTGCCCACCCTTTCGGAAAATTTTATTTGGAACCAACGTAGATTTATCGGATGAAGAAAAATGGACCTACCAACTACAAGAGCTAAATAAATTGCCTACCTTTCTCAAAGTTTATTTTGTAAAATAAACTTCCTTTTTAACTTAAGCGTTTGTTAACTCCAAAGAACTATTTTATAGAAAGTTTTTACCAGTAACTTGCAAATGTATTTTATTACCTTACAGCCTATTTCTTTTATGGTTAGCTGGTTCGGGCCTTAGATTTAGCGGCCTGCCGTTTTCTATATTTTTTTAAACTTAGCTTGTCCGTTTTAACAAAATTGGATAACTATATTATTTTTAAAGGTCGATTCACAATGCTCAAATATGTTGTCCCATCTGGGCCACACTGTCTTGGGTATGAACAGTGTCCAGCTCTACATGAAAGTGCCTGGCTGTCGCACGCCCGGTCACAGGGAAAATTTGAATTTTTGTTCCGTCAACATCAACATAGGGCCTGGAGATACCGAATGGTTCACGGTGGCCAGCAATTATTGGGGAGCCTTAGCATCCCTTTGCAGTTCGAGGAATGTGGATTTTTTGAAAGGTAGTTGGTGGCCCGGCGATATAGGGGAATTGGAGAGGAACAAAATCCCTTTCACTCACATTACTCAAAAGCCGGGTGACGTGGTATGGATCAACGCCGGAACTGTTCACTGGGTCCAAGCTTCGGTTTTATTTCTACCTATTTAATTATATGTCTCTTTTTTATAATTAAATTACTTGGCTTACTCGGGATACAATTCAAACAATTATGCCCATCTGGCTAATCTCGCCAGTCAAAAAAATTTAGAGAATCGTTGCGTAAATTGTATTTCTTTACCCAGGTTTGATTTCTCAAGAATATGAATGAATGCCTTTTATATATTAAATCAGCTTTTAACATCAGCTCCTGATATAGTGATTCCAACATAAAAAATTGAGTATTCATCTCTTAAAATATCTCCTTTTTCTATATTTTTTTTTTAATTAATCAAAATCTGAAGAGTTCTATCACATTGAGTCATAAACTGATTTGACATAAAATTTAAAATACATTTTTATGTTAATACTATTTAAATATCCACACATGATATGTCAACTAAAATATCAATATATTATTAACAAAACTTTTAAGGGCTGGTGTAACAACATAGCCTGGAATGTTGGCCCCCTCACATCCCACCAGTACGAATTGGCCATGGTGCATTACGAATGGAATAAACTTCAACATTACAAATCGCTGGTACCCATGGTTCATCTATCCTGGAATATCGTCACTAATGTCAAAATCACCGATCGTCGACTTTTTCAACTTTTGAAGTACATTTAACATTTAAACAATATAGTTCAAAAATTTTAGTAGGAAATATATTAATCTGGAGTAATATGATGTTAAAAATATTAATGACCCAAGTCCCATATCCCCTATTTTGCATTTCTCCTTTATGATTGTACCTCGATATGGATCTTGAAATTGTGCTCCTACCGGCATATTGATATTTTTTAATAGGGCCCTCCTTTTTTGATTGTGTATGGGGTAATCTCCTTTTACAAAAACATATCATTAAACACGAATATTTATTGAATAATAGATTTGTTAAATACTTATTTTTTTATTGTTTATTATAAAATTGGGAATCATGCATTCTTTATTCATTGAATAATATTTTCTGAACCTTACATGACACCACACTAATATTAAATAATAAAAATAGACTCTTTATAACCAACTGTTAATCTCTTTACTTATCTGTTACTAATCAAAAAAAAATTAGAAAAATGTCTCGTAAAAGATTTGAATTTGCCTAGCTAGAACTCTAATACATTTTTTGTACCCTTATATTGTATATCAAATAAAAGGATGATACTTCTAGAAATTATTGGCTTTAGCTCGAAATATTATTTAATTAAACGAGAAGGATTATAACTATCACCACATTTTTTAAAGGTATCATTTACTTAACATATTTTTTAAATAAATCACCTCAAAAAGGTCTACTCTTCATCGTAGCTTGAAACGATCCCATTCATTGATACGCGTTCTTTCTCTCCTCGAAATTCCCATTGTGTTTCATGGGATTTTACCTGGCGAACTTTGTTCCCATTATTGTGACAAATGTGAAAAGGAAGTCTTCGATATACTCTTCGTCAAAAACAGGCTGGTTCACTGCTTCGAATGCGCCAGGCGTATGTCCCCCGATATTGCAGATTTTACGGTTCTTAAACAGTACAAACAGGAAGAATTGGACGGAATCTACGACAACTTTAGTCTTAATTGTAATAACTTGAACAATCCTAACTACCCAAAATTGGGATTTATTTCCACGAATATGAACGGTGGGGAGAAAATCATGGGATCTCAGAATCAAAATATGATTGGGACAACAGGGAAGCAAGGAGACTGCGATAAGTTTAACAACTATTTTTTTTTTTCTATATAATGCCCTCCATCCTGTAAGGTTATGAGAAGTTAAATTTTTTATAATGAGAATGAGAGGATATTTTTCTATGATTATTTTACTTAAATATAGAAACCTTATAATAAAAAAGTTATTACACACACTCCTGTTATGACATAAGAAAATATTAATGTGGTAAATATAAGTATAGTCGACAATTGGCTAAGCGATCTCGGCTTACGGTTTAGCCATAAACCTAAATAAAGGGATTTTGGTCCATTTTAAAAGCTAAATAAGGGGAAAAAAATATTTTAAATAGAGTGCTATTATTTAAATGCTAATTATATTGAATAAAAATGAGCAGTTTTTAATAAAAATATGTTTTAAACTTAAATATGCACAGTTTAAAATTCGAATGTACAGTTTTTTTAAAATAAAATATGCGCAGTTTAAATTATTACATCAGATTTCTGCATAAATTAAAATCAATTTTTTAAAAATTCGAATTCTTAAAACCAATATTCTTATTTCAGACAAAAACAACTTGACCCAAAACAGATTTTCAGATATCCAGTGAATTTTTTGAATCAAATAATTAAAATAGTTAATTACATTGACAGGAATTTTTTTTATAATAATAAAAAATACTAATTATAAAATTTGTTATATTTCTTACTATTTTCAACCTCACTTCTTTTCTACCGTCCATTACATGCAAATAAAATCAAAATATATAAAAATAGGATGCTATATTTGTTTTAGTTTTTTTAAACCTATGGAAAGCTAAGTTTCCCCACTTTCCACTCCCTAAAATTTATTAAAATCTATCAAATTATTAAGTAAATATTTATTTATGTAAGCATGGGTTTTATATGACATTTCCTATTTTAGGGGGGAAAATCAATTCGATTTTTACAAGATACAGAGCCCCCCTCTCTCCCCCTTACATATAAAATATTAAAGACGGATATAATATTAAATGAAACTTAATAAATTAGAAACATTTTAACATATAATTTGACTTACCTTCTAAATTTTCTTATACCATGATTACAGTTCGAGAAATGATAACGATTCATTTATATTTTCGGCTTAGTTCATAATTTGATTTTACCCTACCCCCTACCCCACAAATTATTATTTCCAATAAAAAGTAATATTTAAAAGTCGGTATTCAATAAATAATGTCGGCCACGGAATCGGACAGTCATACATAATATAGTATGCCTAAACATATTTTTAATAGTTTTTTGATTTGGAAGTTTGTACTGTGTGAAGCCGTTTTGAAAATGGCTAACAAATCTGCCATGTTGGAGCCTTTTATAGTTTAACGGGTATACGCTTAGCCGATAAAACGGCTAATTAGCTAGAACAATTTACAGCTAGATTTACCCCTTTTTATGGCTAAGATTAAGTAAAGCCTATTTACCCCTAAGCCATTAAAAAAAATTGGCCTATAAATTAGGGTCGATATAATATTCCCTAGCCTATTTATATCTATCAAATCGCATTTAATTTTACAATTTTATAAATAAAAAAATATAATGTATATTTTATCATATCAATATGTTTTCTCTGTCAATGCATTTTAGCATGTGTAGATCGATTACCTACTTCCGTGAACTTTTAAATCACCTTTAATTTGCCCCATAATTTTAAAATTTAAAGCAAACACGTTTAATGAATGAATTAGAGATAAAAATTAATATATTTATTCACGTTAACATTCATATTTTTCAAATCAAAAATAATAAAATTTAAAAAAGGACTGTAGAAATTAGGCTCAAACCTATATCAAATATATTCAAGATCCAAAATCCGCCTCACAAAAATACTCATTCTAGCCATAAGAAAACTCACACACAGTCCGACAACAACCTCGCACCCGCTCTTAAATCTCCTTCCAACATAAATAAAAATTCATCGGCCAAGGCTAGCAACAATCAAAGTTTGACAAATCTCCTGAGCAACAAATCAAACATCATGAACATCACTCATAATTTAAGCAACTCTCAACATAAGCAAAATAATTTTCCTTCTAACCATAAAAAAAAATCCCACAAATCTAACAACCATAACCCGCCGTCAAATATCGCAAATCCTATCCCGAACAACTATAATTTCAAACCCACTACCATGGATCCGAATCACGAGCCCTTACAAATTTTAAATACTAGGATTCCTATAAGCGACAACATTATCGAGAAATCCCTGCCACTTCCCGATACCTTTCCTTCTTCTTTACCCGATGGTGGCACAAACAATGAAACATTCGTTCAAACGAACATTGAAATGACACAAAATCAAAAAATATTGGATAATTTATACGCGTCTTCATTCCAGACTAACGTTCCACAATCATCTATTCCGTCGCACGTCCTCATGAGGACTCCCTCAGGTCATTGGATTAAGAAGGAAAAAATTGATGGCATTTCTACTAACGATGCAAGTGTAAACACGCCCTCGTCTTGTCACTCTCTTCACACTCCGCCACAACACATTAATGATAATAATAGTAATGGGACGAATCTACATAATACATAAAAAGGAAGGACCCTATTTAGACATCTTTTTTTGTTATTTGGGAACATATTTTCAGCCTCTTATTTATTTATTTTTAAATATGCATTTGAACAAGGGACAAAATAATATTGATATATGGTCAAATAAATTTGCTCTTTACCTATCTCAACAAGGTATAACTTTTTGTATTAAATTATGCAATCTCAACATAATTAACATTATTCGTAACCCTTTGGCCAACCACAATTAAATACGCATGAGGTCGCGAATTCGTTTAATTCATAGCAATATTTTTCATTGAATTTTCGATAATTATGCTTGAGTTTGTTCGAGTTTTATTTAGAATTATATTAATCTTCTTTTAAATAATGAGTTTTTTTATGATCTCATAATAAATTAAAAGTTGAATAATCTTTATTTTTGTATAATATTATTATTACAAAATTTTGTATATATTATGTATATGATCGTACTCCTCTATAAGACTCGCAATTTAAAGTGTCAAATTTAAATTAAACATCTCTCGTCTTTTGGTTTGATATTAAAATGAAATATACAAATTCCATTATATTTTCAATGCAAAATTAATTATTATTTTTTTTAGAAGAATTGAATTTTATTTGAAATTTTATGTATTTATATTTTAATACTTTATATATTTGTTATTACAATTGTCGGGTCAATCTATTTATAGGGAAATAGGGAGTTTGTTTCATTTAACAAACATGATATTATTTAAAGATTTTATATGTAAAAAAATTTATTGTATTGATTTTGATAAAAAATAAATAGTAATAATATACAATCATAATTTTTTTTGTTATAATTTTATCATATTCAAATATTTTTGCAATAAAAACACATTGCCTGAATTCCCCTATTATATTTGCATATTTTGGTTAAGAAAGAAACTTGATTTAATAAGAAAAGAATAACTTTGGGCTTAAGACAAATTCGAAATTTCTATTAGTCTATTATCTCAATAAAAGACAAGGGAAGATCAGTAAAACCTGAGCGATGATATTTTTTTTGAAACGAATGGCTGGTGACGTAAATCGACGTCAGGGTCGAATTTTATTTGTGACTTAATTTTATTTTACTGAACATTAATTTATTGGAAACCACTTTTTGAAATAAAATTTTGTATTTATAATAACATTACACAAATTATAAACATCAATTTAATGATTTTATTTGGCTACAGTTATCATGATAAAATTATTTTATTTAGATTTGAGAAGCTCTAGAATTCAAAGTAAACCCAATGTACTTCAAGCTGGAACACAGGATTTTCTATCCCAAATTTTAACTCCACAATTGTCTGAAATAAGATGCTAAAATAATGAATAGCATTCTTTTTCTAGTCTTGTTTAGTCAAATTGTATTATTGCTCCAAATTCTGATGATGAATCGATGAATGCTTCATCTTTAGTAGAGAATATTTTAAAATAATCTAATTCCGAAGTCGTCATTTTGGCGGTTTTATAATTTCCTTTGTCCATCTCCACGTAAGGCATAGGAGATGCACCTTGTAGAATATAAATTGCATTGGGGTAACATTTTTTCTTTAAAATAGCCATTACTATGTTTATTTTGAAAGTGAGGGTTCTTACTAAATATAAAAATAGTTAAAACCAGAGTTGTTAAAGTATCTAGATATAAAAATATGGTATCTGTATCTAGATAGATTTTTGGTTAAAGTATCTGTACCTAGATAGATTTTGAAAAGTATCTGTATCTAGATATTATTTTAGAGGTATCTGACTTTTTAAGATACATTTTGATATACTTTTATTTAACGCTTTTTTATATTATAAATAAATATACTTGAATGTAAAATTTATTTTATTTCATATGAACATATAACTTAATATTAATATATATATTAAAAAATTATATATATATATATATATGTAAAATATTAAAACTTGTATATAAAAAAGAATATATAAATATGAGTTATCAATAACAAGCAAATTCTGATATTATATTACAATCCATCTCAAGGAATTTGGCATTTTTAATTGCAATGGGATTGGTATTTTATTTTATTATATTAATTTTTCAGATTAACATTGATAACGAAAATGACGACATTCCATGGCTAATTTATAGACCATATTTTAAAATAACATCTCATAATAAAGAAAACAAATCTCTGTTATTAAAATGTTTACCAAAAAATATACAAATTTCTGTTAGCATTGGCTCAACTTGTAACATTGTAAAGCATTTAAGGGTATAGATACTAAATATATGTTTACAATTTTAAGAGAAAACATCCAACACTCCTAATCCAAATAAAAAAGGGGAAGGAGAAAATATCTATTAAAGAAAATAATGGACAAGGCTCTTCGTCCATTGATTTATTTTCCAAGAGACCTAAGATTTTAGCCCAAGCCATATTAGATGATTTAATAACCGATTTTATTATTGGACAGCATACAGCCATTTCCAGTTGTTGAAAATCCATCATTTATAAAAATTATCAAAACATTAGCTCCACAAAAAAATATAATTTGCAGACAGACAGTTGTTGCTAGAATTTCCCAAAGATGGGAGAATGAAAAGAAAGAAATAATTAAAAGTCTAATAGAACCATCGTTAATATGCACAACAGCAGATTGTTGGAGTGCCTATCGCCGGTATACATTTAAAATTTGTATAATAATTTAATTACAAACAAATTATTTGAGCAGTTTTAAGAAGTCACAGCACATTATATAGATCCAACAAGTTTGGAAATAAAAAATGTAGTATTGGCTTGTAAAAGAATGACTGGTAGTCATACATATGATAAAATAGCAAAAAATTTACAAGATATAGCAAAGGATTATTGCATACAAAATAAAATCTCTATTGGTTCCCTAAATGTTCAGCTTGAAGATGTAAATTTCCCACTTGATAGAGATTTTATCGATCCAAAGTCTCCCATAGGTAATGTTATTTTTGATATATATTCAAATTATTTTTTGAATGATATGATAATTTTTTAAAAATTTATAAGCAGCACATCTGTGTGAAGATATATGTAATACATTTCCTATTGACAGTGGTTCCCAGAATGTTGGCTTTGAAGATGAAAATTTCCCACTTGATACAGATTTTATCGATCCAAAGTTTTCCATAGGTAATGTTATTTTTGATATATATTCAAATTATTTTTTGAATGATATGATAATTTTTTTTAAATATTTTTATAAGCAGCACATCTGTGTGAAGATATATGTAATACATTTCCTGTTGACAGTGGTTCCCAGAATGTTGGCTTTAAAGATAAAAATTTTCCACTTGATACAGATTTTATCGATCCAAAGTCCCCATCATACGTAATGTTATTTCTGATATGTATTTGATTTATTTTTTAATTAATTGTGTATACAGAATTGGATGATGATATTATGATAATAAATAAATTAGAAAATATCCCTAGATATTTTTTTCCTATAACAAAAGTATGGAAAAAATATCACGCCAAAATATATGCTCTAAAGCCTCCCAAACATTGTCGCGATGTAGACTATGGTAAACAACTTGGTGAACCAACTATCTTGGGGCAAATTGAAGGTGATGGGAATTGTTTTTATAGGTAGAACATATTAATATAAAATTTCATTTTATTCTACTTTATAAAATTTAGGACGATTAGTGTGGAGATCATAGGGGCTCAAAATTCCCATATTATTCTCAGGCAATGGTTGGCACAATTTATGCAAACATTTGAGATGGAAAAAGTAATTTAGAATTACATTTATGACACAAATAAAAAAAATGGATATAAAAACGTATATCGTAAATAATGTTATGACATGACGTATATGGGCTTCTGACACAGAAATCAGGGCTATAGCCACAATGCTTAATACTCCTATTTTTACATATTTAAAATATAATAATAACTTTGTATGGGCCCGATATGACTCATTTTATATTCGCGATAATATTAAAATAATTTATAATAATTTTATTTATATAAAAAATGGAAAAAACCATTTTGAAAATATTTTTGATTGCAATCATTTATCTTCGCTCTAATCATTATTTAATACATCTTTATTAGTGTTAAATAATTTTTATTATAAAAATATAGTGTTGTAAACGAACGCGTTCAAAATGAACGCATTCGTGAACGAAGTTCGTTTTTTTGGAAAAAAGTGATGAACGACGTTCCTTTTTTTTGACGAACTTTGAACGTGAACGCGTTCCTTTTCTTTGATGAACGCGTTCAATTTTACCTTCGTTCAATTTTAAAAACACTTTTTATTTATTTGAAAAATTAATATTAATTTGCATTTTTTAACAAAAAAGTCTTATATTTTTATTTATTTAAAAAATTAATATTTAATCCAATTTTTTAACAAAAAAGTCTTATATTTTTTAATCAGCTGTTTTTACTTTTTCCTCTTTCATATTGCAATTAACGTACCATAACGTGCTACTGCTAGAGAAGATAAGATTAAAGTTTATTAATTTGAATATTTTAATTTAATAGATTAGCATTTGTATGGATATAAATATTTCATCATGAAAATCAAAAATCAATAATAGATGAATTAGAATTACCATGGCCCAAATATCAAAAATATTTCACTGTTTTAAAATCAATTCCGAGATATCCTTTTTTTTGACGAGGAAGAAGAGGGCAGATTGGAGGATGATAACATAGCTCAATTTTTTGAGACAATGGATAAAACATTAAATGTTTTTAATAAATTCCCCCTTTTAAAAAATTGTTTGTCAAGTATAACACCGCAATCCCTTCATCTGCCCCTGTTGAGCGAGTTTTTAGTATAGCTAACGCTGTATTAACTGCCAAGCGTTCATGCCTATCAGATGAAAATTTTGAAAAGCAATTATTATTAAAAATTAATAAGAAAAATTTTTAATTTATTTTTTTATCGCTCTATTATACAATGACATATAATAATACCTAGACTGACAATTCATTCATTAAAATGCATTTTAAGCATGTATCAATTGAAATCAGCTGGAGACGCCATTAACACTATATTGAGTACATCGATGATAATTTGTCTTGAAACCAATTCTTAATATAAGTAATTATTTTTAGAAAAATGATTCGTTCAGATGCTTCAAGGAAATTATTTTTTGAGAAATATAGATATTGATTTGATATATTTAAATTTTGAAATTGGAGCAGGGACTTTTAAAATCTTATCTTATAAATCGATCATCTGTTCACATACAGTGGATAAAATTAATTCTAGAATATCGTATGAAATTGGGAAATTTGATTAAATAAATATAAATGCGATATATTATGTTTTAATTGTTATAGTAGGATATTCATTCAGACTTTAAAAGCGATTGATCAGTTATTCAAAAATATTATGGACATGGATGACTACAACTCTGTGATATTGGCCATTATTCAAAAATATTATGGACATGGATGACTACAACTCTGTGATATTGGCCAGTTATATTTTTTTTTCCTTTGATTTCAGGTATATTTATTTTTAATTTTTAGTCTGTGGGTTGCAACATAAACTTTAATTTATCCTTTTAATTCATATTAGCACCATAAACTTAAATACTTTTAATCTATATTGTTGCATCATAAACTTAAATTTATCTTTTAAATTCATATTAGCACTATAAACTTAAATACTTTTAATTCATATTGTTTTTTAAAGTTTTCAGTAACTTTATTTGTGTAAATCTATATCCCCTCTTAAG